AAGTAGTTGTAGTGAACTCCACACCAGTAGTTTGCACTTCATGATTCCGTTTTAAAATTTATACTTAATCTTCCATTAATCATAGGACATGAATAAGCTTATGTCATAATTATCTGTGACAGTGTATTAATATTGTATCTGCGATTCATTGAATAACACAGGCTACACTGAACGGGTTGACGCAGAGGGGCACTGGAAATCCTGCGTGGGGGTTTTCCTAGTTTATCTGTCTCTCAAGAAAAGTTCCCCGACTTTCCATCGATTAGGCCACAACCGCTGCTTTCAAAATAATTTCCATTTCACTAACAAACCATCATCTTACCATTTGATGCTATGTAGCCTAGCAACTAGCAGCGTCATAAAGCTAAGTGACAAAAATGCAGTTTATCCCCCAATAGCAACAGTAATTGTCCGTGCACTGAGGCGTCACTGAAGAATGTAAAAATTATGCATACATAGGAGAGAAAAACTGAGTTCGGAAAAGGCACCCGAGGTTTTAAACCAAAAAGAAAAAGTGGTTAATAACTTTCTTATCCAAAATGATTTACATTTTAATGAAACTGTTAAATAAGATCATCTGGTAATGATGTGAGCCTCTGAATGACTCAGCTGATAAGTAGGCCTACAGCAACATGCGTTTAACTTTCTTACGTTCAGTACTACTTCAAATACCGGTAGGTCCATTCTGTTTCGTTGTATAGTAATTCTCTGACTCTGAACCATAAGAGTGCAAAGTAAGCCAAACGAAATGACCAACAGACAATCACTTACGACAGAACCTAGGATACTGGCATTGCAGATAAAAGAACATGTCAATTTACGTAGAATTTATTACGAAGTAATGACAAGGCTACTTCATTTTCGGTAGCCTGTGGTTCTATTGTAAAAAAGTATTCAGAGGAAAGCCACATTTTGGCCCTTGTTGACGCAAAAACCCTCTCTTTTTCTTTACTGGTGTTCTTGATATACAGGCACACTCTCATAAAAAAAATAATAATTTAGTTATGAAATTCTATTTGAAAATGCTGCGTCCTTCGATAATTTTATATTCCTTTCCCGCAGAATTCTGTAACACTTCTGACATGAATTACAAACGACAGGTACACCACAATCTGCTTTGTGATTTCAAAAGCGAAATTGCTGATGTTACGGTATACGGATGGTTACAACATGAAACTGTTTGGGGAAGAAATTAAGAATTACAAATATGGCCTAAATGAACGAGGGAGACGTGTGGTTCTTCCATCTTGAATAAAGTCTATTGAATTCCATTTTATTCTTGACTTCCCTACGACATTTGCTCCTGTAATTATTTATTTGTATTATTCCTGTATTTAAGGACGATCTCTCTACTTCATTCGAATCGAATGAAGACAATGAATGGCGGATGTGGACGAAAGTCGTAAGAAATGGTGGAATTGTGTTTTAAAATTATTAACCTTAGAACTTTCCTGTACAATCCGAAGAAATCCGAAAAAAAAAATATGTATATATGATACACGTCTCCAGAGTGTAAATCGAAACTGTGCCTTCAGAAACATGAAAAATAGATGCTAGGTGCTGAAGTTCTGTGAGAACAGTCAATTGTGCTGAACGCTCTCGATTGTCTGCCTATATTTACCTCGCACGATACTTTGATGTGCTCGTTATAATATGGTATACTAAATCACCGATACTCAACTGGAATGGAGTGATTGATGAATTAGGTTCTAGGGTTGACTGCGTTGATTAAAAAATATAATAATTGACAGGAATAATATAATGAAGCTTGGAATGAAAGAAATACAAACCGTTTTCCTATCAAACAAAATCCATCAGAGTTAATTTATTGAATAATGCGCTGTAGACGAAATTTGAGCACTATCATTAAAACTGTGAAACTACAGGGCACAGGATCTTAAGCGATATGAAATTATTGCAGGATACAATATCTGTTGTCTTCAAAATATTAAATGTAAATATCTCAAGTTGAAACGTTCTTTTACTTTTTTTTACTTTGCTTATTGAAGTAGTGTAAAACCTTGAATTACAAACGTATATACGTCTCCTTCCTCTTGCTCGCAATATGAAGCCTCTTGTAAGTCGCTTAAAATTAACCAATTTCCCAAGAACTGTGAACTAATTTAGTTTCATGCTACATATTTCCAGTCACTGTACCCTAAAAAGAGTCCCTATCTTCTGGCATGTGACACAGTAAATAATAGAAAAACTTTACCGAATTTTCGGAGGAACATAGTGGTTTCACTCTTTGGGCCAACAATGAAGAAAATTCAGAGGAATTTACTGTTCTCGTTTTCAGGGTCGATCCTGAAAATGGAGGCAGTACATACCTCCGAAATGCCAGTAATATTCTACGAATCTACACGGCGACATATCTCTGAAGATAATACTCTTCAGTGCCAACCGCGAAAACATCAATCTGATTTTGTATTTAGATTTTATATACAGACCTATTCAATAGTGGTTATTGAGGTCATGCTGTTGAACTATCGGACTTGACAACAATAGCAATGTACTGAGTAGCTGAATAGCAATATAAGATTGCTTGCCACATATCTAGGTGTTTTTCCTGAAGGGCTAAGAGTTAGTTTTGTGTGATACAATTCTATGAATTCAGTCTATATAGACGACGAGACATAATAATCCGAACCCTTCACGAGCCACCGCTTGTGCAAGCCCCACGAGGTGCTTATCAAACAGTTCTGTCTATTCACTCATCCTGCTACGTAGTATTACCTTTCTGTCTGTAAATATGTGTGCCAACTGCTGTAAGTAACTCGTCAACTACAGGTGTTTACACCCTCAGTGTTTCTCACGTAATGAGAAGGGGAAGATACGCAATTTACCACCAACTTTTTTAGCTACAAAAAAGTCCGTGATTTTAGTCCGCAAGCGAACTATACCGACCGAGCGACCGCTGCTTGTCAGCGAAGTTAATGCCAACTTTTGCGAATAGAGGGTGTCGCGTGGACAGCCCAACGAATCCCCACGACCGTTAATTTCGGGTTCTAGACCGGAGCGGCTACTTCCTTGAAATAGCTCCTCAGTTATCATCACGAGGCTGAGTGGACTGGAATATTAATTCGTGTCCTGTTCCTAACATAGAATTTTCGCCCCAGGACACGTACGAGGTTCAGTATCACTGTATATTTCAGGGCTGTTGTTAAGGATCGTTATATAACCTGTCTCAGACCGAGGAATTAATACGTGTCTTAAGGCATAGATATAAAACACATACACGTAAATATATAAATCGAATTCTAGGCTGAAACATAGTCTCATTAGTTGCACAGCGCCTTTATCCACTAGAAAACTCAACTAAGGATCTAATAACAATATAGCATAACAATAAGCGTAGTTACGAAAATGTTAAAGAAATTTCCCATTATTACAGAACCCTTTCATTTATAAATTTTAAGTTCTAGAGAAAATTAAAACCTAGTATGTATAAAGCATCACCTTCATTTGGTGCTAGAAATGGGGAAGCAATATACAAAAGACACCTATACGAAATCTACTAGACACCTTATGTACACGGCTTTGAATTAACCTCGGCAGCTTGCAGGGGACTCAAACTTCAATTAAATATTTTAGAGAATTCGTACTTTAAGTGATTTGAGGACTTCGCTTTTTACAGTGTAGAATAATTGGATCCTACTCGGCCCGGAAACCGGAAATCTGATCAAATTTTTTCGGTAGTTTTCTCCATGTCACCAGGCAAATAGAGGTACAGTATGTCGAACTGTACTACAGTTGCTTCCTGTCACATTCTGATTCATTGTGCACTAATCATTCCACAATGTTACATATATGATCGGTGCAACTGACGTCACTGTTTAAGTAAATAAGCAGAAAAATATTAGAGAAAGATTAACTGGGGAAGGAAGCGACCGTGGTGTAATTTGAGATGGGCCCTTATAACCCTGATTTATCCTGGATGAGCTGGGGAAAACCACGAATAACATTCTATCCGGATAGCCGGTCACCGGCTACTTCTAACCCGGAGCCGTAAGCAAATGACGGCGATGTGCAATTCCATTCTGCGTTATGTGGACTTCCACTTTCTGTTTTCTTTGAGAAACAAAGTTACCGAAAAATTATATATTTGGTACATAAAAATATGAGTTAAAATGTTAATGAAGGTAAAGATGAAAGAATAAAGATATGTACGTTGATTACAAAGAAGTCTGAAGAAATTACTGTATAATTCTGAGGGCCAGCTGATATTTATGAAAATATTTGGTAAGCGAATACTGCTTAGGAAAGCATTTCTTTTTATTTAAATTCGCTTATTGGGGGATTGAGTCCAACTGTGTCCACTGGGCACTGCGGTCACTGATTGGCCTATTGTAGCCTGCCCGGGTGATTATGATGATTTGGTGGAATGAAGATTGACAAGGGAAACCGAAGTATTCGGAGAAAACCCGCCCCAGCGCCACTTTGTCCACCACAAATCCCAGTTGACCAGACCCGGGATTGAACCCGGACCCCCGCTGTGGGAAGCCAGCGACTAACCGCTTGGGCTATGGCGCGGCCTTAGGAAGGCATTGCCCACTGTCCAAAGTAAATTTTGTATGAGCTACAGTACCATTCAGAAGGCTGTCACTATAAACTGTAGTGCGTACTATATGATCGAATTCGGGACCTCTTAAATAAAGAGTAATAAGCTACACACTACACCACTTGAATCTATAAGAATAATATCTACGGGTATAAATGAGAAACGATTGCTTGAGGTAAGACACAAGAGATGACTTTCTTGCGTAATTGTAGTTCCTGTCTGAGGGAGACCGATTCATGCGTAAGTCATACATCGAAATCTTAAACTGTGAATGTGCATTATAAATAACTGAATTTAAAGTAGAGAACTCTGCAGAAGAGCTGCTATGTCTCCCTGACTCTGGAGTTTGAAAGCATAATAAAAAAGAACCTAGCCTACAACAGTAGCACGGGCAGGGCCTCCTAAAAGTAAATTTAGGTAGGAGATGCATGAAACTCACCAGTTGGGCTGGTTTCCTACACTGTGACAAATTTCGCTGTAAAATCCTTCCATTTCTCGCACAGCTACGGCGGCCATGGATGTAGTAGGCTAAAGTCTTCGCTCTTGCAAATGGGCACCTGGAACAGAGGAGAGAACAAGAGAGATGAAAATATGGAGTTACGTAGAGTTTAACTTCTTTTTATGGACTAATCAGATGGATGTAGGCAAGGAGCCAAGAGCTTCATTAGCCTTCTTGTGTTTAATAAAGTTGCTGGCAAGACTGTCCTCATTCCAACAGGCTTGGAGATATATTAAACTTACTGTATGTAACAGTGTGTTCTGTGTTTGACTGCAGGACCGATAAAGAGACCGATGCTGTGTTTGCATCTCACTATTATGCACTTTCTCCTTCATTGTGTAGGTAAAATACGAATATAACAAATGACATACGGTTCGCCTAAGTTTGAGACAAATGTAATATTCGTGCACTTAACGAAAATAGCATGGCTTTAATTTGACTCATATGTATGCACAATTCTGTGCGTACATAAAGTATACGTATTTATTTAATATAAAAATAAAAGGAAAAGGAGTGAGGTAAATGGAGCAAATAATGTCTCCAAGTTTAATTAATTAATCTTATGTTTATAATGAAATATCAGAAATATCCAAAACTCACATTTAAAGAAGCTAATAATCCCCACAATTTCAGGGAAGTGCAGTGACTGCTAGAACCTTTATTATTATTATTCTCAGAGGCAAGACGGATTTATGAAGTTAGAGGTAGGGTATCAATGCCAGTTGTGTCTAAAGCAGTTTTATTCAGTTAGAACTTACGAGAACGAAAATGTAATTAACGGCTATAAATATCAGCAACACTATATAAGATAGCAACATAGTTACAATGAGTCAAAAACTTCTGTACAAAAATGTCAACAACTTATTAGAATAAGCGATTGAAAATATTAAAATGGCATATACATTTCAAAAAAGCAAAGCTTCCGCGATTAATGAGAATAGTCAGATAAGAGAGCAAACAGCTCGTCACAGGATGCACACAGTATTATTCCCGTAACATTCTTATTATAGTATCTCTCGTAGAACTTTACTTTGCACTCAACAGATGGAGTCCAGCCGTTATTTCTATGTGAATGGTAATGACCACACTCCACACGAAATAGATACCTTGTTTTTCTTTTCTGCTTTTCTTTTTCGGTTTTAGTCTTAATCTCTTCTATGTACAGCACTGATTTTCCCCTGACTTACTCTCAAAGAGACATTTGAGCATAATATTCCAATTCTTGTTGAGGAATCGTGAAGGTACTTTTAAGTTTTGGATTAGGTTTCGAGAAATCATCGTCTCCCGTACAGACCGATCTGTTGACGTCTAATAAGCGAGTGTTTCTTTTCAGGAGTGCATTAGATGCAAAGAAGATAAAGGAAGAATGGTATGTATTGGAAAGAGACACAGAAAGAGACGTAACTATACGAATGTCAGTACATAAGAGTGCCTCGAACAAGTTAATCTTTTTAAAAGCATGAAGTTCTGGGAAAAATTAATCGCCCACTTTTCTTTGTTACCGCATAGAAAAAGACGCGTCCAAAAATTCGTCAATTTTTGCTTTTGTTAGCGTCCATTGTTTATCTTTCGTCAAAATTGCAACACTTTTACATTCTACACTTCAACACTACATGTTACGGCTTCAAACGGCCATCTTCAGGTGTTTTTATGTTACAGATATTTTACCAAAACTCTGTTAAAAACTGCTACACTGTTTTTATTCGTGTTAAAATCACACGCTGTAGTATTCTTGAGTAAAACGAGATAAAATCCTTTAAAATTTCTGTTGCATATTATTTCACCTCACCCGGAGTGTCATCATTTTCTCAAATGTATCAAGTTGTTTTTCTCGGCAGCTTTCCCCTCACGATCGTGGTGTTGCTTTTGTGTTCTTTGCAGCAGTAAAATTTTACCGAACCGTTACCTAGCAACGATAAGGGGAAATACGGACACACAGACTACTAGAAAGGATTTATGAAGTACGCCGTTGAGATAAACTCAGTGGCTATGATATGCATCCAGGATTTTTGAAGATTGGTTAAGGCATTCCAAAGTTGAGAGGGGGAGGGTGGGGAGTATTACAGACAGCAAGGTGAGCTCATAAGCCTACTTTTATTTATATTTCTTCAAAATAATGAAAGTAAGCTAAAAGTATAACTTTCTCTTATTTTCCTTTAAAACTTTGAAATATAGAACAAAATAAATCTGGTCGAGTTATTAGACCAGTATGAAAAATAAACATAAGATTATATTACATATATTACATTATTTCATGGACACTTTCTGAAACTGGCATAGGTGTCCGGAGATAGTGGCTAGCTCATTCTATTGGACCCAACTGAGTAGGTTTTACTTGAAGACGGAAAAAGAATCCAGTCTCCGAAAATTTGTGTTTTGAAACAAAAAACAAGAAGGTTTTTAAAAAATAGACAAGACGATGGATAACGTCCAAAAACATAATACTTGTAGAAATGTACCATCGTCACAAACTTTTAGATCCTACAATATTATATTATATTTCAGCAACCTGTTGCATTTGGGCATCATCTTTAAAATTGTAAAATATTCCACCTATAATGTAACAAATTCACCCTTCTTGAAAAACACTAAAATGTATTTAATTTACTACAAGCGTTTATTAAACGTTTTAAAATGTCATTAACCATATACATTCGTTACTCTTGCTGCAGCGTATAGTTAATGGTATTTTACATCATTTAACAAACACTTTTAGTGAATTAAATACATTTTAGTGTACTTTTAAGAAAGATGAATTTGTTGCATTATAAGTGGAATATTTTACAGTCTTAAAGATGGAACAAGCACAATGTCCAGCCACGCACAAGTGCCATTATTGTCAGCTAACTGCTGTAGTACAGATCTCCTTATCGTATGAGTGAGCGAATATTCAGGCGTCCCAAAATAGAGGTAGCAAGTGACAAACAATTTCTCTAGCTCTTGCAGCAATCTGAGGCACCTCTCGAAGGTTTCAAAGTCACAGTGACACGCCAAACGACATGCTGCAGTGCTCGAAGCAGTTAAACGTTAAAGAATCCTCTTGGACATTTTCACAGTTGCTTCAACTAAACATTTATGGCATTATTTCCCCTCTCTACCCTATTTTAATGCAATCACAAGAACAATATTAGCAATATTTTAGATATAATTTATTTTGCTATTTTTAATTTTCGGAGGCTAGTCTCGAACTGAGACGCCTTCACGTAAGAAAGCAGCTGCTGAGCCCAATCGATAGAGCCAATCCCCACCCCCACTGAATCTGGGTTCTGAGAAAGTTGACTAGCTCTATCGATTGGGCTCAGCGGATGTCCTTTTTCACTTGCCAACGGAGACAGAATCCAGTCTCCGAAACGTCGTTTCAGATAATGAATGGATAATGATGGATAAGGAATAGAAAACTAATCATTCTATTAACATACCACCGAACGAGTCTTTAGGATTTATTTACAACCATTTAAATTCCATTTCATCCCACTTTTTCTTTTTACATTTCAATATAACGCTGCAATATACACCTACGGTTTCATTTCAGTTTTTTGGTCAAAACTCTGTAATCATTTCTTATCTGGCCCATGCTTTCTACATGCCAAACAAATCTCAGACTTTTAGATTCGGTCGTTCTAATTATATACGAAGAGGTGTAGACACTATTCAATTCCTCATTATGCAATGTCCTCCAGCCTGTCTTTATTGTTCCCTTCTTTGGTTCCAATAGTCTCTCACCCTGGTCTCACTCCTCTGACCTGTTCAAACAAGTGGCAAAATTACGGTTTTGTGTAAGCTTATTTTGATCTTAACGTCTCAACTAACAGAAGGAAAGACAAGGAATTCTGAAGCGAATGTCATTAGGCATCTCTGAATTTCATCTATTCCTAGCTTCATCGTGGAAGCAAGGTTAGAACTCTGCCACATTTTAAAAGGGTCTATAGCCTGTCTTCATACGTAATGACTTTGTCGTGCAGTCTTGTAATGAGACATGGACATATAGTTTGCTCTGTATTAACCATTAGACCAGCCTTCCTACCAGTATCTAACGAGCTTCTTTGTGCCTCATGGAGTTCATACTCCCACTCAATAAATTAATACTGTCAGCTTGGGCCAGCAGCTGAGGTGTATAATTCAGCATCATGTGTCCTTGTACTCTCGGACCTTTCGAGTGGCACATTATGACATAATGACACTCACTATACAGCCACTCCCGGACAGTAACAGATACCAGTGCCACGGGCCGGGCTACGAGCTACAAACTTCGAAATTTTAATGGAAAATGAGACAAAAAGTAGAAAGTTTCACAAGCCTGGTGAATAAATGTGTTATGAAACACTCCTACATAATTCGAGCCTCTTGACGAAAGAAACAGAAGCATTTACTGAGCAGTTTGTGTAGTGAAAAGGTTTTAGACGCATATTTGGGAGGTGATCGGTTCGAGCCTCGCTACGGACAATGACTATGATGCCTAAGACCAGCACCAGTTCCTTTCGAGTCCCCCCTAAATTCAACGACCATCCTGTCATTTGGCTAAGTAATTGTAGGTAATAAGATCTTCGTGAAAGGCCCTACAAAAGGAGCATTTATTTTCGAGTAAAAATCTCGTACTAAAATAATGTAATTAATATATTTACTTTATTAAAGAGAATTTGACCTACTCAGTAATAAAGTAACTTAATTATATATTGTCGCAAATTGTTCTGAACTTTTTAAACAGTGTCTCGCTGCTGAGTGCTCTTACATGGCAAGTCGAAGAAGAATATGAAAAATCACAAAACTATGTGTGAGCCGGCAGAGCTCATTTGGTATAGCGACGGCCTACGGGCTGGACGGTTGGAGTTTGATTCCCCCAGCATTCAGACCGGCTCTGGGGCCCACCCACCCATCCCTTGTTTAATGGGTACAGTGAGCTCTTTCCACGAGGGTAAAGAGGCACTGCCTTGAAGCTGACCTTTCACTTCCATTTAGTGCCGATTTCAAGAATGGAGGAGCTATACCTCTGTTCCACGTACGTCTTCATGGTATGGTGCTTATTTAATTAAGCACAGAAAGAACTTCATTCTTACAAGC